CGCGCCGGGGGACGGTGCCTACACCACCACCGCGGCCGATCACACTGACGCCGCCTCAGGCGAACGCCTGTGCAAACAAAACAACGCAGGCGCAGGCGGCACTGGGGCAGAGGAGGAGAAGGAGGAAGAGGCAAGAAGTGCAAGCTGCGGGCAGGGGCGGCAGGCCAGGAGGCAAAGGGGAGGGGCGGAGGGCGGTCGTCAAGTCGTCGCGCGGGTGGTCGTGCTGTAGGTCGTGGTGGTAGTTGTGGTCGTGTTGTAGGTCGTGCTGTAGGTTGTGCTGGTCGTGGTCGAACTGGTGGTAGTCGCACTGTTGGTGGTCGTCTTCCCCCTCCACCCTCCTCCTCATCCTCCTCCTCCATCTCCTCCACTCCTTTTCCTTTTGAATAACTTCTTCCTGTCGCACCCCGAGGCCAGTTTTCAGGGCGGGCCGGGCGTTTCGCCTGAGACGTCCTCACCACTTATGACCCTGAAGCGTGAAAATTGGCAACAGCTTCACAAATGGAGGGCGGGTGGCTTTCAAAATGTGGCTCTCGCCTTAGCGCCGCGCACATTCCTCCAAAAAATTGCAAAGGTTCCAAGCATTGCAGGCAACACATTTTTAAAATGTGGCTCTCGCATTAGCGCCGCGCATATTCTTCTTTAAAAATTGCCAGAGTTCAACGCATTGAAGGCAACACGATTTCAAATTGTGGCTCTCGCCTTAGCGCCGCGCACATTCTTTTTTTTTACATTGCAAGAGTTCCACGGATTGAGGGTGACCCGTTTTCAAAATTTAGCTCTCGCAGTAGCGCCGCGCACATTGGTTTTGAACATTTGCAAGAGTTCCACGGATTGAGGGCAGTTCCTTTTCAGAATGTGGCTCTCGCCTTAGCGCCGCGCACAGTGGCTTTAAAAAATGAAAGAGTGTTCACGGATTCCCATGATCAACATACTAAAAATGGTGTTGGAAGGATTCAGGGTTATGAGGGTGCACCAGTTCCGTTGACTCGCTGCGTTGACGTCCCAGGAATGGCGTTCTGGCACGATTCCGGATCGTCAAAACGCAGCAATCAGGTTGATCCGTGGCGCTGGAATCCCGAGAACAATGTTTGGCATGCTTCAGGGTCTTCAATGGTTGTCTTCCAACGAGGCAGTTCCCTCTGTGGAAATGAACCGTTGTAGGGGCCTATGAAGAGGAAGCTTGGAGGAAGGGTTTATTCCAACATTGTTGATGACTGTTGGGTTTACACTGGTCCTCCTCCTCCGCCTCCTCCTCCACTTCTTTTTCCTCGTCCTCCTCCTCCTCCTCCTCCTCCTCCTCCTCCTCCTCCATCGTGTTCCTACTGCTCCTCCAACCCCCATCGCCCTCCATCACAGGGGGGGGCAAAAAGATACCAATACTGCAACCCCCTGGACCTCTCCTGGAATACGTTCTGACGCGAATTCCGGGGCGAATCCAGCCAGGACAAGGAGGGCATCGCAGGAGGCCCAAAAAGGCGAAAACCAGGCACGAATGGCGGTATCAATACCTTCCCTGAGATCCGACGCTGCGAGAAAATTGCAACATCGCGAGAAATCACGACCAGCGCCCTTGACCCAATGTGCCTGCGCCATTCTTCGAACAAGATCGATATGTGATGGCCCCGAGCCCGCAACTGGGTGAAAACGCCCGGCATGAACAAAAACTGCAGCGCCCGGATCTCATGGTAATTACCTCTTCCTCCTCCGTCCCCATCCTCCTCGGCGACACGCAAGAGGTGGCCCTGGGCAAGAGTGACCTTTGGTGCGCGGCTCTCGGAGGGGCTCGGGGAGGCCAAACCCAGGCGCGCAAGCTTCGGGGAGACGCAAGACTCGGGTACCGGGGGCCTCGGGTTGGCCCGACGGGGCCACCATGAAAACGACGAGACCCGGCCTGAAATTTGACGCGAGCTCCCGCTGCGAACGTCCCGCGAACACGGGACCGTCAAAATCGGGGACGCGCTCGTCAAAAGACGTCGGCCAACCCGAGTCCTGGCTCACTCGAGCCTCACGCTTGCCCGAAAGGCTGCTGCTGCCGCACCGCAGGCAGCGATCGGGGGGCCCCAGCGGGCCCGCACCCGAGGTCACTCTGGCGAAGGGCCTCTCCTGCGCGTGGGCGACCCCCCGGAGGATCGTTTAACCGATCCCCATCCCCGCCAGCGTGGGCTGGGCCCCACTGGCCGATATATCCCCCTGGATGGGGATAGAGGCCGTCTTCTTCGGGCTTCGAGGGGTGCATCCCCAACTGGGGGTGTAATCTGGTGGGGGTCTCGAAGGGGATGAGCATGGGGATGGGGATCGGTTATGAAAGGGCCCAAGGACACACAAATAAATACACACAACTCAAAAGATTCCCCATATTTTCTGGGTTCTTGCCTTCACCCCCACTACCCATATGATCCCATATTCTATTAATGTGTCTGTGTGTTTCTTTCCCTCCTCAATCCTCCCCGTCGCCCCGCGACCGGCACCGGCAGCAGCAGGCAGCGGCGGCGGCGCGGCCGCCTCTCGGCCGCACCGCCGCCCGGGGCCGGCTCGGGCACGGAGGGTGGCAGCCCGGCGCCGGCCGCGAGGCCCTCGGCCTGGCGCGGGGCTGGGCGGGCCTCCTGCGGCGAGGAGCTGCTGCCTGGCGCGTCGCGGCGGCGGCCCCGGCGACACGCTGCGCCCTGCAGGCGGACACCGCCTCGCTCTCCGCTCCGCGCGGCGGGAGGCAGGGAGGTGGCCCGGGACGCTGATGCCCGGGGACCGGGGCGTGATCCGCGCGACGCGCCGCAGCGTGGCGGGGCCGGAGGCGGCGGAGCGACGCCTCCCTCTTCCCTCCTCGTCCGCCTCCTCCGGATCACTCTCCTCTCCTCCTCCTCCTCCTCCTCCTCCACCACTGCCTCCGCCACAACCTCCTCCTCCTCCACCAAAGCCTCCTCCTCCTCCTCCTCCTCCTCCTCCTCCTCCTCCTCCTCCTCCTCCTCCTCCTCCCCCTCCTCATCATCCTCCTCGTCCTAAGCCCCAGGTCACCTAATTTCTCGAGCATCGCGCCCCGCGATGCGCGACGCGCTGTTATCCTCGCGCCCTCGCGACGCCGCTCCTCATCCTCCTCCTCCTCATCCTCCTCCTCCACCTCCTCCTGGCCAGCATCATCATCATCATCATCATCATCATCATCATCATCATCATCAGCAGCAGCAGCATCATCATCGTCATCGTCATCAGCATCATCATCATCGTCAACATCATCATCATCATCATCATCATCATCATCATCAGCATCATCATCATCAACATCATCATATTCCTCGTCCTCATTCTCCTCCTCCTCCTCCTCCCTCTCACCCTCCACATCCTCCTCCAACTACTCGTCCAACTCCCACTCATCCTCCTCCCTCCCGACAAGAATTGTCCGGGTATGGCAACACAGATAACATGTATGATCATGAGGGGTGATAGCTTACATAGATACATACATGCATACATACATACATACATACATACATGCATGCATACATACATACATACATGCATACATGCATGCATGCATGCATGAATGCATGCATACATACATACACACATATATACATTCATACATACATACATACATACATACATACATATAGTCATTCATTCATTCACTACATACATGCATACATCCATACATACATTCATACAGACATACATACATGCATGCATGCATGCGTACATACATACACACATGCATGCATGCATAATACATACATACATACATACATACATACATACATACATACATACATACATACACACATACATACATACATACATGCATGCATGCATGCATGCATGCATGCATGCATGTATACAAACATACCTGCATGCATGCATGCATGCAGACATGCAAGCAGACAGACAGACAGACAGACAGACAGACAGACAGACAGACAGACAGACAGACAGACACGCACACACATACATACATACATACATACATACATACATACATACATACATACATACATACATACATACATACATACATACGTGCATGCATGCATACGTACATGCATATACACATACATGCATACGTACATGCATAGATGCATACATACACGTATACACATACATGCCCATGCACGTACAAACATGCATGCATACATACATCCATACGTACATGCATGCATGCATGCATGTGTGCATGCATACATACAGCCACGCACACAGGCACACATACATATATATATATATATATATATACAAACATACGTGCATGCATACATACATGCATAGACACCTTCATACATGCATACATGCATGCATGCACGCATGCATACATACACACATACATACACACATGCATGCGTACATACATCCATGCATGCATACATACGTACATGCATGCATGCAAACATACATACAGGCATGCATGCATACCTGCGTATATACATACATTACCCGCAACCATGCACATATACATACATGTCTACATGCATGCATGCATGCATACATACACGCATACATACATGCATATATACTTAATATATAGAAATACGGATATCCATACAAACACACTGACAGACAGGCACATGCACAGACATAAGTACATACATACGTACAAATGTCTAGATGCGCATGCATACATACATGCATGCAAGCATACAGGCCTGCATACATACATACATACATGCATACATACATACCTATGGATACACAGGCATGCAAACATACATACCTATGTATATAAAGACATGCACGCACACATACGTATGCATGTATATGTACCCATGTACGAGTGTGTCGCGCGCGTTCTTGTCTCTCCATCTGCAGGGCGGGTTTCTTCACCCGCCTCGTCGGCGCCGTCACCGCAGGCTGTACCTCTTACGGACGCGGACGCTGGGGGGAAGGGATCGCCCGCGGGAGGAGGAGGAGGAGGAGGAGCGAACATGCGCAGCAGGACAGCCACCAGCTGTGAGCTCTGATGGGGAGGGCAGAGGAGGGCAGAGGGAAGGGCGAGGATGGAAGAAAAGGGGGAACAGGGA